ACACACACACACACACACACACACACACACACACACACACACACACACACACACACACACACACACACAGGTACCTACCTGACCTAAAACAAACCTAAACTCAATTCATACCTCAGTCCTAAACCCAACCCCCAACCCAAAAATGGAGTTCCACCGTATTAGGACCAGTCTTTGATCCCCATTAGGACTACTGGTCTTGACAAGGTAGGTGTGTATACTGGAAACGGTCCTAAATAGGTAACAAAAACAAGTACACACACACACACACAATCTGGTACAGCTATCTTTATGGGGACCTGACGTTGACTTCTGTTTCTTTCTTCAGTCTAACCCTGACCACCAACCCTAACTCCAACCTCACAGGTACCTACCTACCTACCTGACCCTAAAACTAACCTAAACTCAACACAGACTTTAGTCCTAAACATAACCCCTGACCCACCAACGGCGTTTCCCCATAAAGAGACTAGACTCAGGTCCCCATAAGTACGAGTCAGGTCCCCTTAAGTAACATTAGGTCTCCACAAGTAGGTCTATATGCCAAAAAATAAACCATCCCACAATGTAGGGAATACCAGTCCCCCCCCACCCCCACCCCACACACATACACATAAACACAAAAAGTCACATCAGTACACTTTCATTAACATATAGATTTTTCTTTACTTTAATTAGTTGGAACAGGAGTACATAATGTTCCTCAGATTGCAGAACAGCACTGTTGATCTGGAACCAAGAAAAAGCGAAGATTGGAGGACTGAAGTGGATGTTAAAATTAATCTTTCCTGCGATTATGGCTTCTGTTGCCTGTGTGCTACTTGTTCAWATAATGAAAATAATCAAAGTTTATCCAAAGTTACCAACTAAACTTTTAAGCATGTATAACAATGCACTATTCGAACTGATTGATCTGTATGTTTTGAACTGTGTTTGATCAACTATGCAGTACTATCTTGATGAGTTACCAATGATGATTGGAAACTGATCAAAGTGAAAACCAATCAATCAAATGACAAAATTTGGATGTGATTTTTTTAGACTTAAGCATGCAATTCCCCCCCCCCCACTCATGCATTGAGCTTCGTCAAACTTTCTACACAACTGCCATGAGTTTGTATTTGATTAAATAGTGTTTAAAAGATTTATTATAATTTTAAATAAATTCTGTATATATAAAGTAGTAAAACTAGTTTATAAAACATATATATAAACTAGTTATTAGGTTTATTTTTACTACTGATGTCCATCCATCCATCCATCCATCCATCCATCCATCCATCCATCCATCCATCCATCCAATCAACCAACCAACTAACCCTGATTAGTTTTTAAAAACTGTAAGGATAGCAGACAGGTGTGGGCCATATTTGGTGTCAAGCTGGCACTGCTGGCTGACTGCTGGCATGGCAAGTGGTTTGTCAACTGAATGTGGGCCAGGTCTGACAATGATGGCTCTTTTTATATGATGGCATTCCACAACTGGCCTGACTGTGGTTTGGTTTCTGTGGCCCAAATCTGTCAGTGTCACCAGTGGTCCAGTTGTGTTTTGGTTTATGTGGTGCTAACTGATGCATTGACCACCTCTGTACATCTGGGCCACCAAAGGGCCATCAATCTTTGCGACATCTGCACCAAGTGTTAGAATGTTAGTGCATTATGTGGGCCAGACAGATTTTTCCATGTGGGACCTCATTTGCACTAGGGCTACATGATATTAGGAAAACCTGCAGTTGTGTAAAGTAAATAAATAAATATATACATTTTATGACGTGTTTCCTTCTCTGTTCCCCCTCTGTGTATCTCAGGTAATGTTGGCTGCTTCCTACTGGTCTCTGCTGGCACCAGCAATTGACATGGCTGAGGATTCTGGGAAGTATGGCTCATTTGCTTTTGTACCTGTGGCTATAGGATTCACACTCGGGGCAGCTTTTGTTTACTTCGCTGACCTGGCCATGCCTCTGCTGGTAAGAACCCACTGTTTATATTTTTTGAAAACAAAATAATGAGATATACATTAGTCAGAATGTGGAAAACTGAATTAAACATTTAAAGATACTGGGCATGTATTCTTTTAGCAGGCTTTGTCTGAGAGGTTTGTACAACTGTTTGAATATTCCTTGAGGTGACTCATGGTTGTTTTCTTTTAAATGAWCTCAAAACCTGCAACACTTTTTGTCTGGCTTGGATAATTGCATAATTGCAGTTGAGTTCATTTGCTGGTTAATGAATTGAAAACATGGGGGAAATGAGTCTGAGCCAGATGCTTATCAAATGTGTCTTAAGGGTTCAGTCAGTAAGTTCTTTGCTGTGTGTTCCTTGCAACATTCAAAGTTAGTAACTTTATTCTTTTCAAAATTTTTAAGCCAATCCAAGCTAAGTACAAGCATTTTATTGTAATTGTTTAGTCAAAGAAATATTTGGAAATTGGAAAATTTTAAAATATAGAAACTGTCAGTGTTAAGATAATAAGAGGATTCTACTATATCTAAAATGCATTTTAAATACGCTTAGATAAATGAAACCACTTTTTATTTACTTTAAATTAGAATCTTTCTTCTAATTAATTTTTAGACTAGTCTTTTTGACAACTTCAGAAATAGTATAAAGAAAGAAAAAAAGTGTGCCGCAAATGGTTTTAAAATATATTTTTGAGTAATTGTAGTAAAGCAAAGACTTGCTTGGGATTGTCAGATTTTTTTTCTATAAGAACTAAAGAAGTTATCTGAAAACTGAAAAGAGCCAGTAGGAAAGTACAAAAGACTACACTCTAACTAAATCTAAGCTTTGCTAAACAACAACAGTCAAGGTACTGAGGAAGACTCGCACCAAATGGTTAAGTAATATGATCATCTGTAGTTTACAACACACCCAGTCACTTCACATAATCAATGACTGAATCACTTGGTCTGCAAATTTAAGGCACCATCCTAAACCTCCAGGTAAGCTTGGGTTATACTGTATGTATGTCAATGCGACATGAGAGCATGTCACCGATTGCATCATTTCCGACTTCTTTTTCCTGACCGAGTATAAATGGGCTGAATAAGCGACAGGTCATAAATTACAATTCCTCCCACAGCTCATGTAAGTATATAAACAACAAACGTGCTGGCTATTTTTTTTACTCAACGATCACTGTTGTGGTTGTTTAGAGCTGTGCAACTTTTGTCCTAATTGTGAAACCCTGAAACAGCTTTTTTACACTTTTAAGGACATTTGAAGGTGCATGAATATTTGCTCAGCCAGTCTTTCATGTTCTGTTGGTTTAGAGAAGGCTTTTGACAGTACCCTATAAAAATGGGACATCAGGTATCTTGCTATTTTGGACATTTTCTGTCCAAACAGAAGTAAAAACTATTTTGTTGTGGTTATAGCAAGTCAGAATTATTTCTGCCGAGTACTAGACTTTGGCTTGCCTGCTGTTTGTCACCAACTCTGTTCATAACAGTTTAAATTTTGTTTCCAATTTGTGTGGTTTTTGATTATCAGTTATATGTTGATAAGTTGTTTTTGTCAATGGGAGACCTCCAACTGGTGCTAGAGCAGTTTGAAGCAATTCAATTCAATTTATTTATATACAGTAGCTCCAAGCCACAACAACTGTTGTCTCAGGGCACTACACACAAACACACACACGCACGCACGCACGCACGCACGCACGCACGCACACACACACACACACAAAAAATTAAATAAATCTAAAGAAGCCAGCAGATTGCGCCGAATCTTTGCTTCGTCACAGTCTCCCATCCTGAGCAGTACAATCAGAAGCAGAATGTGAAACAACCTGAATCATCTACTGTATATTGCAACTCAATATAAACCAGCAAATTGTTCAAGTGACACTATATTTTGTCTCTTAAATTTGAAGCATCCAATCTATTAAACACCAAACAAGAGTCAATAACAGATTAAGTTGGTTGGCATTGGCAGAAAAGATGTGTCAAGATTCATTATTACAACAATCTAATATTGACCCAACACATATCCCTTAAGTTTATAAGCTTTTCATCATAAGCACAGTTTGTCTTTATAATACATTTTTGGGGCTTCACAAACAAAAATAAATAAAAAACTCAATTAACTGATTTGGAATGCTTTGAAAATATCCCACCTTTTCCGTAAATGTTAGTCTTCATAGGGGGTAAATTTTGTATTTATGTTACGTTCAGTTTTTTTTGAAAATGCTGTACATATCAAAAATAAATTTGACTTTACGTCCTAGCCTAGCTAATTGCCTATAAATTGTCCTATGTCTCTTTAAGAACTTTCTACCATTTCCGACACTCCCACTTCAGCATGTCTTTACAACAATGCTTCGGGGGAGGGCTATTCTGTAGGGTGGGAGCTCGGCTAAGGACTAAGCTCCATGGAGGAGTTCTGTGTCAAAAGGTGGTGCTTTGTACCAGAAATTGTTTAGGTAGCTCTGATTGGCTACCACAGGAGATTCAGGGATTTCTCAAACATGTATGAATGAGTCAAAGTAACACTCTGGGTATGTGTTTGATGAGGGAATGGAATTATAACATGATATAAAGCTAAAAAAAGTCAATTTTGCACAATACCCCCCACAAAAATAAATAAATAAATAAATAAATAAATAAATAAATAAACATTTGATTATTTCCCTTAAATGGCTCCGCACCTTTTTTCTGCTGTGAGTTTAACACAACACAAAATGAAGCAACACAACATGGGAGGGGAGAAATGTGATGCTGCCTCTGGAATCAGAGCAACAGAGAACAGCTGTTGCCCTAAGCTCCGGCAGTCACACCAGGACAGCAGCAGTGACAAGAATTACTTATGAGGGAGCGGATGATGTTACCGTCATGCACTTAGACAAAATGACACACAAACAAACATGCACACTATTTAGTGAGTTCAATTAAGAAAGGAAACAGGATTACTGTAGCTGTTTACTGTATATTAAATATACCTTTATGGATGGGGTACAGCTCTTTATGCTAAATAAAGCATTTTCATATATTTAGGGACAGAAATTTTGCTTTGTTTGTATTTATCACTAAACTAGAATACTATTAAAACTTATCTATTTTTTATGATGTAAATAATGTATTGTCAATAATTTAGAATAAATATATACTGGTATAAAACAGAGGAGTAGTTTTAAGGACTTCTTTTGAAGAGCTATAAGCATATTCACAATAATAAGATCACTGTTGTTTTTGTGTGTAATCCAGCTTCTAAAACTTGGACATTTTCCCCCCATTATTGCTAATAAGTTCTGTATTATGTGAGAAACCCATAAATGCCCCTCCAAGTGATGCTCCTGCTGCTCCTCTTGTGGAATTCTGGAAAAGCCAAAAAGGGATGCAACATTCTTCTAGTGAGGTATGGGTTTTTTCCAGAGTCTCCAGGAGACATTTTAATTAGATGCTCAAACCACCTCAGCAGCTTTACTCTTTGTTCCACCAAGATTTATCTCTAAATCTTAACCCAGTCACCCTTAAGGGAAACTTATTTCAGCTGCTTCTATCCAAGGTTTTTCATGATCCAAATCTGATGACTACAGATGAGGGTTGGCCTGCAAAAGAATCAGTAAATCGAGTACTTTCAATTCTGCTCTTTCTTTGCCACCACAGTATGGACAGAACCCATTAGTGCAGATGAAGCACCAATGTTTGTCCATCACTTAGAAGACAACTTTTTATTTTTATGTTTAATTTTAATTGAAAGAATAAAATGCCTGAGAATTAAACATTCTAGTGGATTACATAAATAGTTTTCATTTAATAACAAATTGTTGTACATTATAGTTTTGGAGAATCATCATTACGTTTGACTGAGGGGGTACTAGTGGTATGACAAAATGGCTCAGGGGGTACACACATTTTAAAAAGGTTGGCAACCACTGTATTATAGGCCTGGTGGCAATTCTGGCTTTAGATTCCCCCATTGCCAGGCTAAGCATCCCAATAGAACCTCCCACCCTCCCTATGAAATCCTACACTCCATGCGCCGATGAAAGTTCTGCTATTTCCAGACAAGGAATGGAGATTGCGGCAACAGATTAAGTGACTCGGGCCTAGATGATTTCAAATAGTAAAGTCTTGGTCCTACCACTACTCCCCACCTCCAGCATCCCCTCCCTCCACAATATGCATCCCTTTTGCTACCCCACCCCCTTTTTAGCGTGCTATTTACCGTAAATCTAAAAAGAAGTGTTTCCTGACTTACATTGTACAGTATATTCTCACTAATTTGTGTGTTCATGGTACATTACATAATTTACATCATTTTATCCTACATGTCCTCTATTTTATTATTCACTTTTTTCTTGAGCTCCCTGCAGCTCACTTTTGATTTGATTTGACTWTATATTCCACAGCTCTTTAGTTATCTTACATCCTCTGCACTCTCTTGTTCAGCTTCCATGGTGACTCTAACAGATACATTAGGTTGGTTTAGTGGACAGCAAAAAATCGCCTAGGAACAAGGTGGTATTGGGAGGTTGTCAGCCCTCCACACACTCTGTAGGGGGCCATCAGTATTTGGACAGCTGCTKGTACCATTTTACAGGCTCCTCAACAAACACAATGGCTGAATGAGAAGAATGATGTAGGAAGGGCAAGATGAACAGAGAGGAGGTTGGCAGGAAAGAAGGATGAGTGATAAGGAAACAGATAGACCTAAGGGGAAATTAGAAGAGAAGTGAGGTTGGCACAGGGAGCAGGATGGAGCAGAGGGAGCCTTGTAGCTTGGTGATGAAACCAGGTAACCAAGATATGTGGAACTCTTCCAGTAAGACACTAAGACCTTTACTGGCACTCCTTTTATTTCCTTTTTTTTTCTCACACATCTTATTGTGCCTCTTTAGAAACATAAATCTAAATGTCAAAGTTGCAAAAGAAAAAAATATTTGACAAAAAATTAATTGAAAATTGAGTTAATTTTGTCTTAATTTTGGAGTTATGTAGTGTCAATTTCTTTTAATGTCCGTCAG